CTTCTAAGTTAATAAGAGCTTATATTAAAGCTAATATAGTTTTTTATTATAAATATATAAAAATATTAACTTAGTACTTTTAGTTATTAGTAGAGGACTTAGCTTATAAGTTAGCAAAGATCTAGTGTTAAATTAGTTCTAGAGGGCAACTTAGCCCTAAAACAAGCCTTTTTGCAGGCTTTTACTGCTATAGCTGCAGCTATATTAAAAGTAGTAAAAGGGATTAAGGCTTAAATATAAGTTAAAGCTTTTATAAAAATAAAATTAAAATAGTAAGAATTTTTAATAAGTGCTAGCAGCACTACTTATGTAGACTTAAAGAAGAGGAATAAAGTAGTTTTAGAAAATATAACTATGCTTACTACACTTAAAGCATTAACTTTTTTTTTTATAATTTTTACACTTTTTAAAACTAACTAAAGCATAATTTAAATTAATTTTTATTATATTAGAGTTCTTATTTGTAACTGCGCTAGTTTAGGGGCGTATTAGGGCTTGTACAAAGAGGAACCTTATGTTATTATTATAGGTAGTAATTAGGTTTACATACATGTTAAGGTTATTTAGAAAAGGTTCTCCTACTATAGCGCGTTACAGTTTAGTTAAAAGGGAGTTATATAAGGCTATAATTAGACTTATCTTATTTAAGCCTATATTAGATGCAAGTTAGTAGAACTTAGTAAAGTGTAAAGTAAAGCTTTTTTTTTTATTATAAAGTGTTTAGGTAACTTAAAGCTATTAACTTTTTATTTAAGTCTTTATAAGTTACTTATAAGAACACTATAAATTAATCTAAGTTAATAATATCTTTATTTATTAGTAAGTTAATTAAAGCTGTTATATTATAGTTAAGTTAAAAGTAGGCATATAGTAACTAAGAGTGTTTAGAGGGGAATTAGTCTATGTTTCCTTTAAGTTTATATTAGAGCTTATGTAGAAAGAAAGGTAGGTCTTTTTATTTTCTATTAAATAGTAAAGGATTAGAGAGTTAGTTAGATTTTATTACTAAGTTAGAAAAGTTATAGGTTATAAGTAGTGTTAAGTAGAAAAAAGTTAAGCTATCTTTAGACTTCTAAGTAAGCTTTAAGGCTAGTAAGTTCTTAGTTTCTACTACTATAATAAAAGTTAAGGCAAAAATAAACTACTTAATAATATAAAGCTGTTTTTTAAAGTCTTTTTAAAAAGCTTTAAAGCTTACAATGTAGTAGCTTTTTTATAAAGTAAGTGCTTTTTAAAAGGCTTCTTAGCTTACTTTAATAGCTTAAAGTTATGTAAGTACTAAGCTTATTAGATTAAATTTAGAGGCTATTTTTAGCTAAAGTTTTAACACAACATAATGTTATAATTATGCATAAGTAAGGTTATAGAGCTTTATAAAAGTCTAGTTTAATTACTATGTAAAGTATTATAGTAAGTATAAGATGTTATGTAAGAAATAAGAAAGTTTAGAAGAAAATTAGTAATTAAATACTTAGCTTAAAAGTCTAAGCACTTTAGGTATAAATTAAGCCTATTTTAGGTTTAGTTAGTGTTAAAGCAGTTTATACTTAAGTTTATGTCTGTGTTGTGTTATGTTTATGTTAGACATGCACTAATAATACTCTAGTACGCGTCTAATACAGTTATGTCTGGGATCCGGGGAGGATACCGTGACAAACCTAGAAACTTATAAAAAAAGTTTAAAAACACTAAACATAAAGAACTAGAAGTCTATAAGTATACTTCTATTAAAAGATAAATATAATGCAATTTTAGGCTATAACTAGCTTAAAAAGCATAACTTTGCTATTAACTAAAAAATAATAACTATTAAAAACACTAATAACTACGCATATATAACTTAGTTAGTATGCTATAATAATTTATACCTAGTTTATAAATAAGTACAGTAGGGTAGCAGCTACTACCTAAAGAAATAGATACTTTAGAAGTTCTCTTACTAAGAACCTAAAGCTAGAGCAGTATAAGTAATAAAAAAAGAACTAGAAAAAGTATTTTATAAAAAACTAGAAGCTAACTTAGACATTAAGTAAGTTAGTATTTATAAGATTTAAGAGGAACATAGTATCCCTACTAAGTACAAGGACTATAGAGACATGTTTAAAACACTAGAGGATCTAAGAGAGCTGCCTTTACATAAACTATAGGATTACGCTATAAACTTAATAAAGAACTCTAAGTTAAAGACCTATAAACTTTATTTTTTAACAAAGTTATAAAAAGAAGCACTATAAAAGTATGTTAACTAAATATTAGTATAAGGCTATATTTAGAAAAGCTATAGCCTAGTAGCCTTAGCAGTAGTCTTTGCAAAAAAGAAAAAAGAAAAAATTAGAGTATATTAAGACTACTAAACTTTAAATAATAACATAATCTAAGACTAGTTCCCTTTTTTAATTATCTAGAACATAATAAATTAACTAAAAGGAACTAAGTACTTTATAAAGTTTAATATATAAGACAAATTTAATAAAATATAAATAAAAAAAGAAGATAAATAGCTAACAGCTTTTTAAACTTTATAAAAACTATATAAGCTATTAGTAATGCTGTTTAGCTTAACTAACACCTCTACATTATTTTAAAAAATTATTAATATAGCTTTAAACTTATACTTTAATGTCTTTACACTAGTATACCTAGATAACGTCCTTATCTATATAAAGGAAAGCCTAGAAGACTATGTACAAAAAGTATAAAAAGTCCTAGATAAGCTACAAAAATACAGACTCTATCTCTAGCTATCTAAATGCAAATTCTATGTTACTAAAACTAAGTATTTAGAATTTGTAATTAATAGTAATAAAATTAAAATTAATTTAGCTAAAATATAAAAGGTCTTAGACTAGCTAAAACCTTCTATAGTTAAGAAAGTTAAAAGATTCCTAGGACTATCTAGATATATTAGGCAAATAATTAAGAATTACTTAAAGATTACTTTACTTCTAACTAGATGCTATACTTAGCTTTAATATTCTTTATAAGGCTAAACCTGCCCTAAATTACCCTAGGACTCTTATAGAGAGCTCTTTTATAGTTATACTTACGCTTAAATATTACTTTAAGCTCTAAATAATGCTTTATAAACATACTAGGCTAGTTTATGTAAATATAGCCTAGATTATGCTTAGCGCGCAAAGAATTAGCTATATTAGCTATAAATGCTATCTAAGAAGAAATTTCTTACGCATATAGCTTAAGTATAGTCTTAATAATTACTTGCTTCTTTTTATTGCCTAGCTTTTATAATTTAGCTATAGAATTAGCTTATAAACATTATCTAGCGCTATAGTTATTTATTGTCTTTTATAAGACTCTATACATAGCTGCAGCATGTTTCTTTAAGAGTTTTATATTTTATTTAAAAGCTTAGAGTGTAAGCTGTATTTAATATTCTTTTAGCGCGTTTAAGTAGTGTTGTAGGGAATGCATTAGTGTAAGAAGAGTAGTTTAGTAGGGTCTTAGTAAAAGTAAGCAACTTAGGTGTGTAAGCAACTCGCCTGTAAAGTACGTTATTCCTAGAAAGCATAGTAGTAAAATATAAAAAAGTAGTAAAAAAATTAATATAATTTTAGCTAATAAAACTATAAGTCTTTAATAATATTACTTTTTTAAATAACTAATTCTACACTATAACCTAGTTAACTAGAGCACTGCGCAGAGAGCCCTTCTGCTATAGTGTATAAAATTAATAGCAGAGCTAGAGGCAGATTACCTTACTTTACTTTTTTAAAAGTGTTAAATTTATACTATAAGTTTATACTTTTAATAGTGTATAATTACTTTATAATATACTTTTATTTTTTATATAGTAACCTAATTATGCTAAGGGCAACACCTGTTTTAAGTCTAACAGCTATATATTATTCTAGTTAATTATAAACTTTACTTTAATATTATAATTATAGTTCTTTAGAAACTACTGCAACTAATTTTTAGCCACAGATAGTATACTATTGCAGGATAAGGTAAAAGACGCAGCGTAGAGAGCTTTTAACTTCTGCAGCCTGTAAGACTGTGTAAAATAGGTAATATAGGTATCTAATTAACTAAATAAGGCCTGTAAGGCAGTAAAGCGCGTAAATAGATAACTCTGCAATAAAAAATAGTTAGTAATAAGCATTTTTAAGATAATAAACTGCAAATAGATAGATTAAAAGACTTTAAAAAAAAATTTATATTTTTATAAAACTTTTAGCTAATTAGAGCTCTAGAAACTCTTTTAAACGCTTTTATAAAGCTACTATTTGCTAGAGCCTTTGTACTCCTCTAAAATTGCTATATAAACTTCTTAAAAGGGTAATATAGTCTGTGCTATGTACCGTACCTAGAGCATTATTAAACGTACAGTACAGCTTACAAACTTGGTACGTTTGTACTACTCACGTGACCGTTACGGTTCACTTTGTACAGACCGTAGTACGGCCCGTTGGAAGCCCTGTGAGAAGGTGAAGAACGCTTTTCGCCTCAGCCTCCAACAAAAGCAACCACTTCTCAAGCGCGAGTCGCACTCTTCGGGCTAGGCGGTATTGGGTACGCTTCCCCTTAGTACTATAGTAATATAGAAATTTTAGCTAACCTATTTTAGATAAACCCAGATCGCCTTAGGTTACGCATACTGGTTGAAAGAAGGATGTCTGGATGCGTCGATATTCTGGGTGCACGCGAGTAACGTCGAACGATACCACCAATCTTTTTTCCACATCGCAGAGAGCTGCCAAATCCCAGGCCACGGGGATCCTAAGGCTGACGATGAAAGGCTCGTCAAAGATTGGCTTAAGAAAAAGGATCAGTGGCCGTGGCTTATGATCATTAATAACGCGGACGACAGTGAGGTCTTCTTTAGCTCTGGCGAGTTTGTAGCAAGAGGGCTAGAAGGCCGAGATAGATCTGCTGTCCAAGGAAAACTAGTGTACTTCATTTCCAGATGCTCACATGGAGCTGTCCTAGTAACAACACGAAACAAGTAGACCGGTCTCAAGCTCACGGGAGGCCGCAAAATGATCAATGTCGGGCCGATGGACGAAGAGGAGTCCATCCAACTAATCAGCAAGAGGCTTGAAGACAGCGGACTTGGTACCAAGCAGACATCGCTCCTTGCGGCTCGTCTAGATTATCTGCCCCTTGCATTAGTTCAGGCTGCGGCTTTTATCCAGGAAAACTCAATGACGGTTCCTAAATATATTCAGCTTCTTGATCGTGGAGACCATATTCTTGAGGGCCTTCTGAGCCAGCCGTTCGAAGAGGAAGGCAGAGACTCGAGCGTTCCAAATGCGGTGACGGCTACATGGATCGTTTCCTTCAAGCAGGTATACCAGTAGTATCCTTATGCAGGCGATCTGCTGTCACTCATGAGCTTTCTTGATCGGCAGGGAATCCTAAAACCGTTGCTTACATACCACTAAGAGAAGGGCCAAAGCCAACGAAACTACCAACAAGAACAGCTAGGAGGACTAGGAGCAGCCGTAGAGCTATAAAAAGCACTCGGCGTCCTCAAGGCGTTTTCCTTCATCTCCGATAGTGAGGTGGAAGAGAGTCTTAATATGCACCGGCTGACTCAATTGGTGATGCGGGAAGGCCTAGAAGTGGGGCAGTATAGTATTGTGCAACCTGTCCGCACTTTTCCCCTACGGAGAGCAAACGAACTGGACGATATGTGCTATGTCCTTACCGCATGTCTACGCTGTTTTGAAGGATTCTGTATCAACAAAAGCAGCTACAGCTGAAGCAACGCTACAACACAAGGCGGCACTTTTCATGCTGCATCTAGGTCAATAGAACAAAGCCGAAGGGTTTCAGGTGCAGGCAGTGAAGGCTAGAAAAGAAGTGCTCGGGGAAGAGCATCCTTCCACTCTGACCAGTATGGGGAATCTGGCGTCGACGCACAGGAATCAATAGCGATGGACAGAGGCCGAAGAGCGAGACGTGCGAGTGATAGAGAAGAAAAAGAGAGTGCTCGGGGAGGAGCATCCAGACACACTGACCAGTATGGCAAATCTTGCGTCGACGTACAGGAATCAAGGACGATAGAAGGAGGCGGAAGAGCTAGACGTGCGAGTGATGGAAACAAGAAAGAGGGTGCTTGGGGAGGAGCATCCTTCCACGCTGACCAGTATGGCGAATCTAGCGTCGACATTTTGGAATCAAGGATGATGGACGGAGGCAGAAGAGTTGGACGTGCGGGTGATGGAGAAGAAAAGATGGTGCTTAAGGAGGAACATCTAGACACGCTGACCAGTATGGAGAATCTGGTGTCGACGTTTTGGAATCAAGGACGATGGACGGAGGCAGAAGAGATGTTTGTGTGAGTGATGGAGACAAGAAAGAGGGTGCTCGGGGAGGATCATCCAGACACGCTGACCAGTATGTCAAATCTTGCGTCGACGTGGAAATCCCAAGGTTGTGCAAAGCAGGCTATAGGTTTGATGTCTGAGTGTGTACTAATCCGGCAACGGAAACTTGGAGCGAATCGCCCTTACACGACACCCTCACTTCAACTATTAAAAATGGTGTTGCGTTTGCCAAAAGGTCAACCTCCCAGCTAGCACAGCAGAAGGATATATATAGACGGATAGCTGTACGCGACAAATGGCAAGCTGGATAATAAGGTCGTGCTCTTGGATACAGTTATTATGTATCATTAATAAGGATTTTGTGGCATTGCATGTACTGTATTGTATTTTTCTTTCTGTTTCTATATTGGAGAGGGTCATAGAGAATAAATGTTTACATAGTTGTGATATTCACTACTCTAATTCTAGCGTCTTCAATACTAGAGGGGTTATAGGATATATTTAGATTGTACTATCTTGGCGCAAGATAGCGGGTACTTTACATGGCGATGAGCGGCGTAGGTACATTTACTACTACGCCTCGTTGGAAGCGCTCTGCGAAGCGTTATCTACAGAGTAAATTATAGTGATGTTATGCCTTTTTATTGAACTGATTCTACAGACTATTAAAATACTAATAGAGTAACTTAAATTTTAGCGAAAATACACCCTATTTACCTTTTCTCAGTAAGTTCATGACGGTAGCTCTACTTCATGGAGAACTCTCTTAGCCGAGCGCCCCTTATCACCGGCATCGCTCTCGTGGTTTCTCTTTCTTTTAATTCTTTCCAAGTTCTCAAACAAATGAAACGGTGTGTTTTCAACCCCTCTGAGCGTATGAAAAAAAATTTTGACGGGGGGAGGAGGGACACTCCTTGGGAACAATACAGGATTACTTGATTTAGGAGTTGGTGTAGGAACTGAGGGGAAACCGGAAGAAGCAGGTTTAGACGAATCGTCATAGGTTGTTGGAAGAGCAGCAACGGAAATCGGGTCAGTGTGAATATGCTCACCGGCTGCACCTCCACAGCTTTCCTTATACGACGTGGTGAAGTGATCTTTGTCGTCTTCATCTTCCTCTGCATTTGGCACTTCGCCTGACCTCTTATCTTTACCGATATTCTTACCATCATCTCCAGATTCACCTGGAGATCTATCCCAAAGATATTTCAACTCTATAGCTTTTGGATCTTTTGCGTGCTCCCTATCAGGTTTGCCAAGGGCCTGCCTTTGCCAAAACATGGAGACACTCTCTGGCGTACGCATTTTCAACGTTCCATATTCCACGCCCTGCATGATCTTCTGCTCCTTCCTGTCGCCTTCTTTTATTGGCGCAGTATCAACATCAAAAAGCTCAAACAATGCCCTGGTTCCGTTCCTTCCGTCCTTTCGCGGGGCAAAATGGGGCCATTCACGATCGGGCGGGCTGAAGTGATCCATGAGCTGAGTACACCTGTTGCTGTGATCTTTGCTGCCGTCATTGGTAAGACCCACAAGGATGTCGCTACCATTCCTGATAGGAGAGTGAGGAGTGGAGCATATTGGAGAAGACGGGCTATGGTGGTTTTCAACGTGGAATTCTCGTCGTCCAGAAGCAGCCTCAGCCCAAGGAGTGCTCATCTTGACCTTGCTCATGATTTGCTCTTGGGGTATCACACTCGTCATGATGCTTTTCTTTTTTGGGTAGAAGCAAATGACTCCCAAGGTAACTAACCCGAGGCGTTCATGGGACTCCGGATGGTCCGTGGATTTTTCATTTGCGGAAATGTGAATGGGAATAGGAGTCTTGAGCAGCTCATCTTGCCTTTCTCTCCGGTCGGTATGGGATTTCCATTTTCCATCAAGATCAGATATTTCAACATCCTCTATCTCTTTCCTTCGTTTCTCAATTATTTCTTCATCGTACTCAAGTTCGTATGGTTCTAGGCGTTCACAGCTATCAACTCCCAAACCAGTGGGCGGGCGTCTAGGGTGAGGTGTCCAGAGACGCAGTTGCTCCGGGGGTACTTTGTGCTCTGCGCGATGCCCTCGTCTTCCGAACACCCCTTCATCATAAGCGTTTAATATTTTTCGAAGCTCATTTTCGTCCGAGTCTTCCTTTAGCGGATAACTATTCTCAAGCTTCCGATCCCTCTTTCGCCGATTCGTCCAATTCTGGTAGTAGATAGTGTCCTCATACAGGTTTGTTAAATATCTACGGTTGTTGTGCCACGTGTTTGTCGAACGAATAGCACCCTTAATGGTTGTAAGTTTTTTTTGAGCTTCAACCATCACCTTTTTCAATTTCTTGACTTTAGGATCTTTACCCGCTATCTGGGGCCTGCGGCCACTCACAGCCTTCTCGAGTTGTCCACGCGCCTCCCCCACAGCTTTTGCCAGATCGTATTTCTCGCGGTACAAATCCTTTCCCTTTGTTTTTTCAATCCTCCCCTGATTATAGTAGGTCTCTCTCATGCTTTTTAAAGCTGCATCCCTTCTCGTTCTAGCGAAACTTTTGGGTATATCTAGTTTAAGGACGTCTCGAGTCCTTGAAGTACCAGTTGCTGTTAGGGAAGTAGCCTTTCTATTTTTTGTAAGCTCATTCTTCTTTTTACCTTTCTCAACAAGTCCTTCATGAGTTTCCAGCTCCGGTTGCTCCACTGCATCAGTCGGGCGGGGGTCTTCTGGAATGTCGTCACCCCCAGGATCTCCTCCTGGTCCAGTGCCTGAGACTATGTTTGGCATGCCTCGCCGTGAATTTTCGATTAATGTATCGTGAAATATGATGACTTTCTTGAATTTTAAGATTCAGTGCACCTAAGGAGCGTAAATTTGATAATGCCAGGAGACTAAGAGTAAATTTGGCATGGCGAAGGCAGGATATGCCTCATAGCCATTCATATAAGGCCTTGTACCCGAGCTTCCACTCTTTGTCTTACTCACTGAAAGAAAGGCATTCATATCATGGCAAAGTGTGAAAGATGAAGAATAGCATTATGTTTTCCTTTGTCCGCTTTATTGGTAACCCAAAGATATTTGGTTGGTCCTTGCTTTCTATGTAGCCTCACAGTTAATTATGCGCTAGTTAAAGCCTCTAGTCCTAATTCATGATACACTAGCTTGCACAATCAGCTTCCAGTTTTTACACGTTGCTGAACTTTGCCCTGCACTACAGCCTCCTGAAGGTTCGGCTTCCGGGCGTGCGGGGCGCTCAGCTTTAGCTCGTCAAGGAACCCTGCTCTGCAAGAGCGGAAATGTCACCTCCATTGAGCTGGCTCCGTATAGATACAATCACTCCCTATTGCTTACCCTGGGGTAGAATTACACATGAAATCACGTGTACAGTTGTGCTGGTCATTCTGTGGCGTTATGCACCACCCAACCACTGGCTCACATAAATGTGGCTGTGCCCACCTCTCTGCCTCCCCAACAACTAACTCATCTTTTATATATTCGCCACCTCACAAGGTCGTCGCCGGAGAGGGTCGGCTGTCCTCCCTGCTAGCGTCACCAAGGTGTTCGGCTACTTGATATTGAGTCGATTCGCTTGCAAACTTTGCCTTCTGTGGGCCCTCTATCTCAGCCCTCACCAAACGCACTCTTGCACTGTCTCTAGATATTTGGTATAGCCCAACGTCCTATTCTCCTGTGACCTCGCTAACCTCACTAGCCACGACTAGTACTCTTAACAACAAGCGACTTACTCTTCTCTTTATTTAGGCTACCACGTTTGAGCCTCTTTAGGCCTTTTTCCTATCGCGTGCGCCGATCACAACTCCTTTAGAAGCAATGCGTCTCCTACGACGCAGCAGTACTAGCGATTTTAGCCTTGAGGACTTTGCTAGCGATAATACAATACCCCCCTATGCGATACTCTCTCATACATGGGGAACCGATACCGACGAAGTTACCTTTGAAGACCTTATAAGTGGCACTGGTAAAAATAAGCCCGGCTTCGAGAAGATCAGGTTCCGTGCAGATCAAGCTTGGAAAGACGGGCTACAATACTTTTGGATTGACACTTGTTGCACTATACAGACTCACCACCGACGACAATGCCCTACGAAAAGAGTGGCATACGCCGCTGAAAATGGCGGCAAAATGTACTTAGCTTTTCAATACAAGCGTATTAATATTTCCTTACCGTCTACCTTTTCCATCTAAGAATCCTTGACTAGCGCTCAACCCAAGAGCACGCTCATGCAACAAGGCCCCGGAATCAGACCTCCGTCATGCAGTAGCTGAGCAAGACTAAGCCCACCCTGAGCAAATCCAACAGGCTCATGCCTGAGCACGAGCTAGCTTTAATCAATCCCGATCATTCTTAATTTTGACTATGAGCAGGGTCCTGAATTTAGGCCCCACCATTGGCGAAGCCTGAAAAGGGACCCTTCTAATTGTGAGTCTGCTAAGACATCGGTACGTCACATTCCCTAACTAATAGTTGTCACACTTACAGTAAACTGGCCTTGCTTGTCCTCACATTCAGCTATAAGTGAGACGGTAAAAAAGCCCAAGAGAATTAGAAGGATTGCATTTAATTTTTTATTCTATACTGTACAATAGTCTAAGAATTACATTTTAACTTTTCAGTAACAATTTATAACTACCTGGGATCACTACAGTGGTATCAAAACTACTACATGGTGACCAATCAAGACAATAACGATAAATTACAGAATTCATGGTGGCATGACCCTTTAGTAGCCTCTGACAAACTCCCCGATAAGGCATACTCAGGGAAGGCGAAGTTGTCCGATGATCCTGTCTTCGCGAGAGAGAGTCTAGCTCCTGGGTAATGTAACGACGGAAGACTGATTGGACTGGAGAAGACGCCAAGTCAGCTAAGTAGTCATCATTGACGGCACGATGATCGAGATAGATGCACAATCAAGACTTCTTCCTAAAGGAGCCTCACAGGATCCGCCACCGCCAGCACCCTCTCGTAGACTAGCGAATTGGATGACGAAGCACAATCAAACGAGCCGGGGCGGCGTATTACCGGCGATCCATGGTAGTTTCAAAGCCCGGCTCGAGGAGGAGTCATAAGCCCTTGATGATGAGATGAGAGACTTCTTAAAAGGATTTCATTAGGGAATGAAGCCGTAAAGGATGGTAGCTTTACCAAAATTAGAAGCAGGCTGTAAGAAACCGCAGCTGTTGGATTATGCGGTGGGCCTTATGAGTCAAACCATGTCCATATAAAGTAGAAACGGCGGGATATCGTTCTAGGAAGCGCCTCTCTGCCGTAATAAACATGGGCTAGGAGCAGTGTATATTGCATGATGAGCAAGGTGTATACGGCTAGAGCCACCCGAACTTCAAAGCGTGACATGATGGTGCGACAGAAGCATTATTTGCGCAAGCTGAATGGACATACCAAGTCCCGATATCCCTGTGAAGGTTCTAGAGCAGCTAGCTTTGTCTTTCCCGGATTCAGCGCTGGAGTAGATCAAGGGTTGGAGCCTGAACGAGGGCCGGCGTGAAACAGTGATGGATTGGCCACCATCCTCGGGTAGCCCGACATTCATGCTGCTGGCCAGCCGAGTCAAGGCTGCACACCGTCCGGCTAATTCAATTCCGGATTCGTTCATGTCAACTCACTGAAGAACCATACCCAGCCCCAAAATTACTAAGGCTGGGACCTAAGCAATAAACCCACCTTCTCTGTTGAATTCGAAGACTACCAGCCCATTACCGTGTACTGTGCTCAGGCGCAACACTGTTAGGCAGGTGTGGTGATGGTGATCAATCCAACTACAGATGGTTTGACCTCACTCGTAGCCTACCAGCGGCTATCGAGCACAGCTGAGACCAATACGCCGCAGCCCAACGTCAATGGCAGCATCCTGCAAGCTCTCCAGATTTGAGTAGAATCTTGATATTAGAAACATCAAACTGATGTTGATTCACTGACTAGAACTAAGAAGCTATGAGATCTGGAGAGAATGATTTATCTGAAAGTAGCTATGCCCGCTCAGGAAACTACAGAGGAAACCCTCTTCTTCATCTCTTCTAACACTGGCAGTGCCGTCCTTAATCCTTGGGAGCATTTCGTAAGCATGTCTTTCAAGTACTCCTACTCGCAGCATATCTATCTACTTACTCTTAAAGCTACTAATTATTCTCGTATATTTTGCAAAGCTGTTCTTCCAAACTCTTACGGACTCTGCAGTGCTATTCTTCTATAAGCTTCACTCGCTAAGATTCTGTAGTTGCCTTTTTCTTCTATGTTTCTATCTCTTCTCGTAGCTTAATATTTGTACTTTGTAGGTAATCGATCTTTATACTAAAGCTAACGTCGCGTAATCGAATGAATGTTGCTAATGAGCTCTCGAAGCTTGTCATCAAGCTCTGCGGTATTGATGTACTTATTCTTCTCGTGGGGTATCCTGAATGTCTTCCATATGCTCGAGCTCTTTGACTTGTGGCCAGAGATGGGAACAATCAATTTAATCAGGTAAGAGATGTCCCCCTGAACTGATTGAGGCCAAGAGAGCTCTGTGATTGTTCTGATTGTCTTGGCAGTCGTCTGAGAGGTGAATTGAATTGAAAGTTGATTGATTGGGATATTTTGTATGTACAAAATGGAGAGTAGCTCCAAGGGAGAAGAGGCGCTTTAGAGCTCCCACTCGCCAACGTGATACATCTCCTCAAGCACCTGCTCAGAGAGATCTATACTTTTATTAAAAGTACAATTCATGTCTACAAACTAGCCTTGTTCTAAGACCTAACGCACTGTATTGCAGAAGTTAATTAAGGGCTAAGTTTACGTCTCTTAGGCTCCATCATATCCCCTGTTTCAGAGAACAATATCTCACAATAAGAGGAGGATGCCGGGATGGAGAGCACGTCTATCGCGAGCCTTGATAGGTCAGGGTATTGTGCCCTCATCTCAAGCCAATACGCAATAGGATCAACGCTGTGTTGGTGATCGGCCGGGAGGTTTGGCTCAAGTGCGTACCAACGCTCGAATTGATCCCTGGAGTTAACCTCGATGGCTGGCCCGTCAAACCTCGCAGGCTTTGTGAGCTGCGCTGTAAACAGGTCAATATTGCTGACCTTAGGCCTCTTGCGCGGGGGAGAGATGACAGGGCTGCTATCCTTAGGTTTGTACTCATTCTAGAGGCCCTAGAACATTGCCCTGCCCTTTAAGAGCCACTCTAGGTGGTCCTTGCCCTAGGCGTTGACAAAGTAGTGTTTGTAGTAAGGATGGAGGCTTGTCGCTGCAAAATAAGCTAGGGTGTCTTTAAGCTTAAGGTAATACTTTGAGAGCTTTGTGTGGGCCGCTGTTACGTTGATTTTTAGGTGGTCTTTAGGTGCGTCGCTCTGATTAAAATCAACGCTCTACCACGACTCCGCCAGAGCTTCAAAGTGGCTGAGGAGATACTCAAACGTTGGGTGGACTTCATAGATAGCTCCAAAATGACCAGAGGAGCCGCGTCCTTCACGCCTCTTTGTGGCGTATGTACTCTTTAACTACAGCCCAGTCAGCAGCGTCAAGACCAAAGGACCAGGTCCACTCAGGAGCGTCGTAGGCCTCTGTCTAACGCGCTCGCCGCGTCGCGTCCTCTTTGCGCGTCTTGTCAATGTGATATTCAATATAGGCGTTAACAGTCAGGTACAGCGTAATAGCCCTGACAAAAGAGTCGCAGTAGCTGTTCCAGCGCGTAATAACAGGTTTAACAGGCTCAAGGAGCTTGACCAGCGCCAGGTCGCCCGCAAGGCGTTCAGACTCAAGGATATCGCGCTGTAGGCTGTTGAAAATATCGTACTGTTGACGAGTACGAATTGAATGGAGGACGTCACAGAGGACACCTAGCAGCCCTCTCCAACGCCACTCGTGCAAGAGCTCCTCCTCTGTCTAAAGCTGCGAGGCCTCATTATTAAAAGACTCCTTGTCAACTCCATATATCACTGTCTGGCCAACTAAATTGAGCGAGTGAGGTGAGCCGCGGAGACGTCGTTTAAGAGGTGAAAAGCTGTACTTTTGGGCGAGCGGGCTGACGGCAGTATTATTATTAGTGGCGTTATCGAGGACAAAGTAGCCGACGGAGCTGGCAACTATCCCAAACTTCTGCAACATTTTGTCAACGACCTCAGCCATCCTCTCGCCAGTGTGGGCGCTGGCGAGCTGAGGGAGGGCGAGAGGTAGGTCGCGGATCTTGCCACGGGCGTCAACGTAATGACGGACGATCCCTATAAAGGCCTTCTTGCCGCCCTTGACAGACCGGCCGTCAAAACTCAAGTGGATTTTACTAATAGCCCGACTTAGTTCGCGACGGACCTGTGGGACTAGGTAGTCGTACAGGCGTAAAATATACGCTCCGACGCTGCGATAGGTCTTCCAGAGCGCCAGGTCAGCCTCAGGATTAGCGACACGGAGGAGGGCTCGAAAAGACGGCGATTCAAACTCGCTAAGTGGGTGATTGTTCTCGACAAGCCAGGTGATGGCCGACAATCGAAAACGCTGTATATTAAAGTTTCCAAGGGCTTTAGACACCTCCTGCGACATTTCCACTCCAGCGCTTGCCAGACCAAAGAGAGTACGCTAGCCGCCCTCCAGCCCAGCTATCTAACGCCCTGGACGTGAGATATTGTGCCCGGCGCGTCGCTGCTCAAGGTGAGCCCATACGGACGACGTCGAGCTCGTCACGTCAAATATGCCCTTGCCGCCGGTGCTACTGATAAGCTTGTGTAGATGGCAATACCGACAGACAAAGTAAATACGCGTCATCAACGCCGCAGGGCTACTCGGTAACCGTACTCATAAATAAGCGACTTTTTCGTCCTCTAGGTCCGTAGGGGGACTGTAAACCGTGGCGGCAACTCCAATCTATCCTATCAAAGTTGTCCTCATAACCAGCATCAAATCCAGCATCGTCAGCGTCATCAGCGACGGTGGAGGGCGCGAGGGAGGACCTGACAGAGGGCTCGACGTTGAGGGAGGGCTCGACGGCTCGGTAGTTGATGGATGCAATGGCGCGCTCTCTCACCTCAATTTCGAAGGTCTGCGTACTTTGTGAGTCTGTAGGCAGTTTAGCGACGATCCCCTAAGGCTCCTGTTGATCCTGCCGTCTTTTTAGGGCCCTAGCGGCTCTCTTGGGGCCCATATTAGTGAGTGCAGGTGTTAATGTAAGTGCCCCGACAGAAATTTTAGGTAGACAGGTACTTACCCAATTAGGAAATCGCCCTCAGGCCAAAACACTAAATTAAAATATCTATATTTAGCGATATCTCTAGCCTCAAAACCTATCTATAAACACTTAAAAAAAGCTTAAAAAAGGCTACTTAATCAAGCTAATCAATCAGGTTTAATAGCTAAACCTTACCTACCTATGATTTTGTATACGCCGAAGGTTGATTGATTGAACTAAGAGAAATTAAAAAATCGGGCTACTTGACTGTTACCTGATTGCTTGTTCCCATCTCTGCTTGTGGCGCGGAGGTGTTCTTGTCAATGGCGCTGCCCCCACTCATGCTATTGCTCAAGGACGACGATATCTAAGCTCCGGACACGTACTACTTAGCGACAAAAGGAGTTTTTGCGCAGATTGAATTGGCCGACAGTCGGGAGCAAAACGAGTGAGGTCCAAGCCGTCAATATCATGTGCGGATGCTAAAGTCGGCCAGAACAACTGCTAGGTCGTCGATGATGACATGAAATGCCCGGAAGTGAAGTGAAGAAGCATATGTTTTTGTAGATCAATCCTAAACATGTAACTGATACAAAAACTCCGCGAGAATGACTTTGCAATGCAATGGTTGCTTGATCGTCGTCGCAACTACATAGTGTCGGCCATCCATGGGTGCTTCAGGAGTTCAGTCGCCGATTTCCTGTCTTCCGGCCGCCATCTGAGCATCGAGCGTATGAAATTGAGAAATAATTCCTTTTCCTCCCCTTTAAGCACCGAGACTCTTTCCTCGAGTGAGATCTTAGGAATAGTTACACTCTTGGAGCCACCCGTCCAGTGTCCTATTGAACTTAGCAGAGTCTATGTCGGGACGATCTCAATGACTAACCTTGCTTGTCGAAGACCTTCCTTGTCATATGGTTGCTTTGCGTATATTCAAGCGGAGGCATTCCAAGGTATGCAACCATTTCGGAAACATGATGTGTCTCTGATGGGTTGCCCTCGTTGTCACGGGCGTCGAATAGATGCTCATCTTCAAACAAGTCCCACACCTAATCAAGAGTAAGTCATTGAGACTTCCTTATAATAGTATTGAATACTTACCAACGTGGCGACACTCCAAATGTCCACCTTAGAGCCCCACTCCATCTCGAAAATTATCTCTGGTGCACGGTATAGCTCAGGCTGAATTAAGCCAGAGTGGGAATCTCCTATCCGCGCTTCTCCAAAGTCACAGAGAACTGGTTGGCCCCAAAGATCACCCGTAGGATGGGGAAGCTTACGGGAACTGTAAATGGTGCGTGTGTCGTCAATCACTTTGGATGGTGACGGGTTCTCTGCTTCAGCTTTCTCGAAGTTTTCCAGAATAGTGTCATCATCCACAGTCAGCATGATATTTCCAGGATTGATGTCTAACTTGTCAGTTGATTCAATCATGTTGCATCATCTTGCCGTACCTGTATGTACGACCTTAGCCTCGTCGTGTAAGAACGACAGCGCCTTTAGCACATTGGCTAGCGTGCACTTCAGAAGCGGAACGTCGAGCTTGTGTGCTGGGTTGTAATACTGGAGCTGTCGAATAGTCATGTGCATGGGTGGATGAACAAAGCACAAATGTTTGCCAGTCGGACCGTCGAGCTCAAATTCGCCATACAGTCCGCGGATGTATGCTTGGCCGCGATGCTGTGATTGCATAGAACTGACATGCTCGTAAAAATCTAGCTCTCGATTGAGCTGTGGGGTCTTTTCGGCATCTCGGGTACAAATCTTGACAGCGACGAAGCCAGCGACGGAGCCAGCGTCTCGTTCTCTGTGCATGGATGATCAGACTTTGAAGGGTGGGTGGGGGTGAAGAACGCCAAACATACCGGATATCCCGACACAGCCAGACCGTGGAGTATGCACCGTAACCGAGTTTTCCTATAACCTTAAAGCTAGAATCGAGAATCTCACCAGGTCGTGCTGGATAAAACTGATCATGGCTATACCACGGAAGGCGCTCCTCCTCGAAGAGCTCGCTGGCATTCATTTTCGTACTCTGGAAGCGCGAAATTCGGGAGGTGTTTGCAAGGTATGACTCAAGCTTGAGGCTCAGATGTGTTCTATCGAGGATCTAGTAGCAATTCACATGGAGATTATGAGTATAACAAACCGGAGGAGGGTCGTAAAGGATAATTACAGGTATAATGGAGTGATGGAACGAAGAGGAATGGTTTACGCTCCGACAATCGGCTGGCTCAGGTGGCATGCAAAGTATTCATAGATTTGTGACTACGTTATTGCAGAAAGACGACATTGGATTAATTTTTTAGATGTACTTTAACAAGGCCTGAGCGCTGACGACTTCACAGTTATAATGTCTCCTACAAAACCATATTGGGACCAAGACCAACCATACCCATCATCACTGCTACCATCAAAGCAAACATCAATGTATATGACCCTTCATCAACCACCGCTTGTCCCGCATTGCCAGTACACTGCGGCGGCGTAGGCGAAGTAACAGAAGTATTCGTCGGCCCCCTCACCGTGCTCGTCGCATTCGGCAGCACCTCCCTCGTCTGGCTCGGCAGTGGCGGCAGTGGCGGCAAGAACGTCGCACTCGACGGCGTCGGCAGCGCAATCGTAGCGCTCAGAGTACTGAAGCTCAACTGCGCAGCCGCTCTATTGGCAGCATACACACTGACCTTCGTGGTCGTTGTGACGGTGCTGCATGAGAGCGACTGCATGTAGATGCAGTACAGGGACCAGCAGTAGCTACATCGGATTGTAAGTGCGTGGGAAGAAGGTGAAAAGTGTAACGGACTATGTAATCGTAAATGTGTGATACTTTAAACTCCGCAGCACCACGCCCACGCTGGTCGCAGCCGGCGCGATCGTACCTTAAGCCTGAGTAGTCTGACTACAGGGATGTGCGTCCACAAAGTGTGTAGAAATAGAGTTTCGAATATTGAAGGGACGGATCATACATGATCTGAAAATTATGCTAAGCAGTAAAAATTACAGGTTGCGTAAGCCGCTGAACAAAGTCGATGTTGTCGCAAGTATAGGTTGAGGTTGAGTTTGCATCATACAGACTCACCACCGATGACAATGCCCTACGAAAAGGGTGGCATATGCCGCCGTTTTTGGCGGCAATTGGTACCTAACTTTTAATTACAAAGTTAGTTCAATATCGTATTATCTCCTTTTCCAGTTACCTTTTCATCCGAGAATCTTTGTTTTGAGTTGTTCTCTCTCTAATGATTAAACCTGGTCATGCGAGGGGCTGAAATCAGGCCCTTGAGCAGTGGCTTAGCTTACCCCTCCTCTCTAGCTCTTTTCAGTTTAGCGTGTATCCCGCCGTGGATTCCTCGATAGCTACTAGAGCTATCACCTTTGCAAACTGTCCTCTATTGACATGTACGGTTTGCCATCACATCTTTGAAGGCTCTTGCCACCGTAATCGAACCACATACCTCACTCTCGAATACTCTTGCCGGCGCTATGAGACGTTCATGTTTACGGTATCCCAAGCCTCCACTGTGTCCACCATGTCGTCTCCGTCCTCTCCAATATCTACTTTCGATCCCGCCCAAATCTCCACCATAGCCCCAAGAGATCGCTCAGGAGGGCGAGATGTTCACATCTACAGCATTAAAGACCCTGCTACAGTACTTTGTGGTCTAATTCTCACAAATGGCGTCACGAATGCCAACTTTTACTCCATGATGGAGATTCTTCTACTGCTTTCGAATGACTTTGAATTACGCGATGAAGACGATACCAAGGTTGAGAGGAATGATAACTCGCTTCAACCTGGGAAATACTATATTATTTCCGACGGTTGGTTAAAAGCAACTCCAATGTGGTCGCATAGCTAACGCATCAGTAGCGCCGTTCCAGATCAATAACGAGAAGCCGGCCGTCCGAACAATATCGCATGCTACTGGAACTCGTGTCAAGCCCTTTACTGAGGCAGTCCGGGCTCGAGACCGTCGATGCGTCATATCTGGAGAGGTAGCGATTGGGGCGCAGTTTGACAATTGGAACGGCTTTGAAGCTGCTCACATCTTTCCACTAGCCTACGAAGGCTATTGGAATGAGAACAACTACGATCGCTGGATAACAATTCGTCCAGAAAAAGGCGGAACAATCAACTCGGTACAGAATGGACTACTCCTTCGAAGCGATATACATCAGCTGTTTGATAGCTACGATTTTTCAATTAATCCTGACGTAAGTATATCTCCATATTTTTATAACTATTATAGCTAATAGATATTCTAGGATGACTACAAGATTGTGTTCTTCACCTTTGACGGGAAAGGTCTTGCTGGCAAGCGACTCGACCAAGTGTTCCTAAATAACCCTCAGCGACCTGTCGATCAGCTTCTGCGATGGCATTTCAGGCAGGCAGTCCTAATAAACATGAAGGGTGCTGGCGAGCCTAGGTTCGAGCATGACTTCCCGCCCGGCTCGGATATAGTTGGTGACATTCTCAGAGGTCCAAGGGCATCCGAAAGGATGGAGTTCGAGCTCTTCAGTCACGTTGCTGCTCACATGGATATCCTTGATATTTCTTCTACTTAGTAGAACAAATATATGGTTCTGCCACAGCAATTAATGGTCTCATCCTCTCCAGCAGTGTTCCGAATGCAAACTTCCACTTGGTGATTAAAATTCCTGGCTTATTCGAAAGCGCCACTAAATTAGAATGATACCAGTACTTAGAAGAAAGATAGCCCTCTCAAACCGAAAAATTACTACAAAACTGCTTCTTTTAAGCCATTTTTATCTATTCATTTGGTTTGCTACTGTATGTCCAACGGGTATAAGCATGCGAACTATTTGAGTAACGTTTTGGGATCCTGGAAGAAGCATCTAATCGAACATGGTTAAACAAATGTTGGTACTAAACGCCCAAGTTTCCTATACGACTTCCAGGGATACCTAAGGTCAGAGCTTGCGGTTAGCATATCTGTCCGTTGGCTATGGCAAATTCAATAATTAGGTTGACTGCGTCGAGGCTCTATTTCCAGGATTTAGGTTTCCTGTCTAGGAGATCACCAGAGGGAAGCCGCTGTTCGGATCGGCCCCAGGAGGGAGGGTAGGTCCCCTCGTCTAGTATCCATGTAACACTAGCCTCTTCTTTTTTAGAACTGGCGCGTCCTTATCCGCCGTATATTCGCCTTGTAGCCCCCTCAAGCTCCTTGGACCTCACAACAATCGCCCAAACTACCTAGTTGGTTCTCATCACTTAACCCCTCGCTTCCACATGCTCTTTAACCAACAGCTCTAACCGTGCGATAGTTTCCGACTATGCTCGGAGTTCCAGGTCTTCAGCGACTACTCTTCTTATTATGTCCCACCGCACTTTCTTCCAGAGGCTTCATCGTATCCCTTTCTCGTACGCAAGATCGATGGTAAATCATGTGCAGACGACCATGTGGCCGGAACCGTGGCGCCGTCGCGTTCGTAGTGCATCCCTGTATTTACGATGCGAGTTCTTAGGCCACCAGGATCAAGGCAGTTGTTGAACCGTGTTCCCCACTACAGTCATTCCAAAAAGTCTGTCCCATGGCCTGAGCACTCGCTTATGAGCTCAGGGGACTCGGAAAAATCCCCCCCACCTAAATTAGTACTGCAGGCCTTTCCCTGACCCCCAACCACGCATCTAGAGCTCTAGAAAAGCCTAAAAAATCCTTTATTATTTAATTTTAACGCTGCAGCTCCTTCCTAATTAGGTAATTAATAACAGCCTACTAAGATAAGCTAGTCCTCTTGTAACAGTTAAAAACGCTCCCTTACTACTGCTGCTAGCTAATTAGTCTAAAAATGTCCTTCTCTCTAGTTAATAGCTGCTGCTGCTCTTAAGGAGGTCCCCTTGTTAGCTTAGCCCTCTTAGTCCCTCTAACTTTTGCAATTTATCTATTTTTCGCAGCTAGCTAAGGTTAATAAGGACCCTGTTAGATTAGAGGATAAGAAGCTAGCTAAGTTAGCCGCAAACAATCCTATTATACTATTAGTAGAGGTTACATAGGGAGAGGTTACAGTGGAGGTACAACAACCTGATGACACAGAGGCGTCACAGAGGTCGCGTTTATTGTCAATAGATAACTAGGTACAGGAAAACGCTAGGGATCTGCTAGCACTAAAGTATACAGCTTAATAGCAGGCGTACATCCTAAGGGGCTACATTAAGGAGATGTTACCTAGCTCCTATGCCTGTTATCTCTCTACTAAAGAAAGTAATACTGCTACTCTTTAGCCACAGCTTTAACAGTAGAAGGAGAGGACGCTCTAGAACGCCCAAGCAGCTAGTCCTAGTGTTTGTAAAGCAACTATAGTAACTAGCAAGGCTACGTACAGTGGTAAAGCTGCTGCTAATGCAGTAGTAATAGAAATCTCTAGTAAAGCTAATATAAAGTCTCTAGTAAAGATGTTAAAAGATTGTTCTAAGAACTACTGTTTCTGCTGCAGAACAAAGAAGAAGTAGTTTATAGACATTAAGATAGTTATAACTAAGGCAGTAGAGCCTCTTATTACTGCAGCAATACTATTATTCTAAGCTAGGGCTAAAAAATTAATGTTATCTGTTACCTAACACTAGCTTAATAGCCTTAACAAGCATTTAGCCTAGCAGGAGATTAGTATAACTTATTAAATTACCTTAACTAATAGATAGCTCTGTTGTAATTCTCTCTGTAAGAACAAGGGCAATAAGACTTGCTGCTAGGTGCAGGGCGATAAGGATTGTGTTAATATGCACTACTCTCTAGATAGTGACAACTTGCGACAATAGATAGCTAACATGCAGGCCACTCTACTAAAAGCAACTTATAATAAACTATCTAAACAAGTTATTATATCCCTTTATAAGCAAAGGAAGCAGAAACTAAAGGCAAAATAGCAGAAAAAGCAAGCACAATCTCCTCTCCTATCTGCTAGCGTTGCTTTATTGCTAATTGCCTAGCTAATTAAGCTAGAGACGCTCTAACTACTGCGTAGCATGTGTTAATTATTACTACTATTACTAACGTCCTTTTAACCTTCTTGCTCCTCTTAGCCTGCCTTACGCGCTAGGCAGCCTTTAAGTCCTCTTAAGATGCCTAATTATAACTATACTAACATCCTTAAGCGCTTCTTTAAGTAGTAGAAGGCTTAGCCCTTAACCCCTACTTGCATAGTAAATGTGCTTAAGCAGATAAGTCACATATTAGTAAAGGATAACTAGGATCTTAATACACTTAAAAACCTAGGCATAATAACAGAAGAGTAATAGAGAGAGTACTGTAATAAATATAACTACTTTAAGCTAGGAACCCTCTTTAAGCTAAAGAAGAAGGCTGCTTTTTTTAAGGGAGAACTAAAGGCTGCCTAGGAGTAGTATAGGGATAGGCTTAATAGAGAGGACTTAGATAAGACATAATTATATAGACTATTTATTCTCTGTATCTAGCAGCTTTAAATATCACTTTAAATTCCTAGTAGCAACGCTGCTGTACAGCATGCTTAAGAAAGTCTCTATAGTTATTAAAGTTATCTGCTAACTAATAGTTCCTTTTAAGCTATAATTTTAATATAGCAAAGGACAACTTAATTAGGTTAAAATTAGGTAAATATAGAGGTAAAAACGCTAGTATTACACTAGCTCTGTTGCAGATGTCCCTTACATAGTCTAATTAATAGATACTTGCGTTATTAAGTACTATAACTAACCTTAACCCTAGGTACAGGCTACAGAGAGGTAGCACTTAATGCTTAAAAAAATTCTTAAAAATTTACAATATGCTACTACTTTAAAACATTATATAGGTTATATAACTATCTATAGTATAGGCTAGGAGGAGACTCTATCTCTGTAAGCAGACAATTAAGCTATAAACCTTACAGTCTTTACTAACAGGACTCTACCTGCGTCTCCTATCCCTAGTACAAGAGTTACATCTAGATTTGTTAAGGCATATAATTTAGTCTATATGCTAGCCTTACTAACAGAGACGCTAGGCATCTTTTAGCTCTAAACTGCGCTCTAAGGAACAATAGTAAACAACCTTTCTAGACTATTGCACATTTAATAGCTAATTATATATTGTACTAGCTAACACCTTTATGTTGTACTTATTAAGTAGGAAGTCTTGCATTTTGTTAAGATAAGCAGTAGGGCGATCCTTAAAAAAGGCAAGTAGGCCCTGTAAGAGCATTAGCACAACACTAAGAGAAGGACTAAGATAGTCGCCACCTACCTAGAGCTAGCCTTCACGTATTACCCTAGGTCTTCCCTGTCTCAGTGTTGACAGGGGATACAGGCAGCCCTATAGATCCAAGCTAGTACAGATCCTGTAAACAGGCTTATAAGATATGCTTAGGTCCCTTGCAATTTAAGGAACTAACATCCTAATATTAAGACAGGTTTGTATACAAGCGACAATAGCCTCACTGAATTGAGCAGGCATGGTTTGTGGATGGGGAGACAGCAGGTAAACAATTGTACTACTAAATTAGGTGGGGGAAATTTTTTCAAGGTCTAGGGGACCACAGCCGAGCGCTCAGGCCATGGGACAGACTTTTTGGAATGACTGTATAGGATAGTCGTGTTTCAATGCCTTTAAGGAGTGGGCATTGAAGATAAAATTCAGACATGAGTGGGGTGATAGGTACCTTTTCTCCTTGGTGAGGGAAGTTACGACAGTATCGCCTCCAGAGCTCGTTGTGGAGGTTAGAGTCCCCAGTTGTGAAGCTATTGGGAGCACTAAAGTCATGAGGAACTAAGTTGATTGCTGAAAGAGTGTACCTAAGGGTCTATATATGCTACGGAGTGGTCGAGGCAGCACGTAACTATAGTACGTGGCAGTGGCTTTATGCAGATGAGTATGTGGTGGAGCTCGGAGACTCCGTAACTGCAAGTCCCTCAACCCAAGCTTGAATGAAGCGAATGTATGAGTTGTTGAGCAAAGGCCGAACAAAACACAGACAGACTGATAGGCAATTGGTATAGCTAACTAACCTGATCTTCACTCTATTGAGAATGTATGGAGAATTCTTAAAAAATATGTTTAGAGAGGTTCCTGAAGACAAAAGAAGAGCGAGTTAGGTATATTTAGGAGAGATCGCTAGGATTAAATCTAGACTATTCAAAAGTACACTACAAATATGTGACAACTTCGTGAGGCAGTCCTCAGAGCAAGTGGTGGTCTAGCCCCATTTGAGAACGCCAATTGAGTGAAGTTCTATATATAATAACTAAGGTAAATGGGATAGATCGGGTTCCTATACAGCATATTCTCCTCATATTTCCAGCCCACTCAATCTCCCCCCTTGTAGTCAGCTCCTTTAAGGATCGCCTGGGACTCACAATCGATCATACCAGTGTGCCAAGATAAGCCTATCTACTCAAACTGATCATCAGTCTCAAAATCTACAACCGCGTCACCAGTTTGTAGACGGCCCTTCAAAACTAATAGCATCTTGCCATCAGGGCTACCATCTGGCTTATTGTCAGGAGTATCTTGGGAGGCCAACTTGATGTCAGTTTCCCCTTCTAAGATGCGCTCTAGGGTCACTTGGGGCGTCAGCAGGTACGGGCTGCAAGTGCTGTTTGCATCCTGGTTGAAAACGTCGGTTTTGGGTGAACTATTGGTCATCCATGACGATAGGTAAAGTTGATCCGATTGAGGGATCACTGGTGCGCGATTACAGGGTCCAGTAACCCCCAATTTGACTGGCGAAGCAAATAGGCAATCGGGTGCCGTCATACAACCGCCTGTACACTAGATTCTCTCCAGAGTCGAAATGAATGTCTTCTCCTTGAGGTAGAGACGCCAAACTAGTGAACATGGTAGGGATGTAGGCAACATCGTTCAGCCGCAGCTTGGTAGGTCCTCTGGGGCCATTGGCTGTGAGCATGACGGTGCCCCATGCGACTATACGATGGTGCTGGCCATCAGCCATGAATCGATCTGATGGAGATGGGTTTCGCGTCCATTTGAAGTTAGCTAGGTTGTTGCAGACATGGACATCAGCTCTAGAATCTATGATCCATAAGTGCTGGAGGGGACTCTCCTCCTGATAAGACTCCTTAGTGATGAGATTTGTCGTAAAGGTCATGAGAGGAACAGCTAATCGTCTGGTGCCTGATTGAACGGTTGAATTGGTGGTGATAGGCGACTCGGAGATTGAGTTCGGAATTAGACTAGCCGGAGGTTCGGGTTGAGAGCTTTGACCATGCGAGTCAGTTGGTCGATAGTGGCTGCTATTGTCGCCCCTTCCACGTCCTTTCTTCCCGCCGTCTCTTCGCCCTTGGATAGATGTGCTCCTTAATCTTCGAGAGAGATCCTCGTTCCTGAGTCGCTCAGCCTCTGCATTGAGCTGAGGATCGCTGCTCATGCGTCGATCGTACTCCTTCTGGAGAATAGCAGGGATCTGGTACCCCTCAGGTCTTAATCGAGGGTCGTTGACCTTGCAGTTCTTGTTCTTGTGGGTGCCTCCACAGAGGTGGCAGATCCACTGATGTTGTTCGTAGTTCTGAGGAGAGCTTCGACCGTATTGGTTCTCCCTTAGCCATGCGTCCTGTTTCTCCTTTAAGGGCCAATTCTTGGCGCGCTCGTAATTCGTACGAGCAAACCGTTTAAGCTGGTAGCGTGAGGGCTCAAGGTACTGCTTAAGAGTCTTCAATTGATGATAGACGCTATGACAGTCCATAATAAGAGGATAGTTGGTCTGGTTGATCGTTGTGTAGATGATCGTATGCAGGTCATATATGGCCTTGTGGCGAGCTTCATACTCTCTGAGGTCGTCTTTGTAATCCTCTCGAAGCATCAGGTATTGCCCCAGTTCGGCCTCACTTAAACCCGAAAAGGCTGCACCGGCAGGCAATGGAGTCTGGCTAGAGTACACAGCGCCTGGCTGAGGCTTTTTTGGTTCAACGTTTACTTTGAGGGTACCATCGTCTCCCTCGGTAAGCTCAGGATTGACATAATCCCATATATTATCCCTGGAGGCTTGGTGCTTAATTTGACGAAACCAGGGCATCCAATCGCTCTTACTGGTGAGAATTACGAAGGTACCGATCGTTAGAGCCATCCTAGTGCGCGATGATAGCAATCCGTGTGCGGGTTGTCGATTATTTCGTGGAATAAGCCGAGGGTCGATGGTACGAGGAGAGCAGGTCTCCTCCCGTCGAGTAGTCGCAGTGCATAGCAATCTGTGCTCTATATGGACGAATAGGTCGTCAGGCGCTTGATCGAGCTCGGCGGGTGAGCAAGCAAATGATCGAGGTAAATTGAGCCCGCTGAGCCCCTATTAGACAGGTGTGAAAGTTTACTATGCTGTGGTGACAATAGATTTAGCCATAAGCCGCGAACCGGGCTCGTAACCGTCGAAATAGCAGGGAGGGGGTTTAGTATAAGCGGGCTCGATTTGAGGGGTGGTGAGAGCCAAACTGGTTGTGAGATCGGCAAAGCTCGAGATAGCTCTGACGCGACGAGTGTATCCTGTGCGCCGAGGAGCTAGTCCTGGTAAGCAACTAGTGCGGTGGGAAGATACCGCATCACGTGCGATATTATTGTCGTTGAGGTATAGATGAAAATAGACAAAAACACAGTTGATCGAAGGAAGGCTCTATTAATTACAGATCGACAATCTGCGATTCGGATAGAATGCTCAAGAGACTTAAGGGACGCTAAAGCCACGGCATTCCTTCACACCAAAGGAGTAGGACATGTCATTTTCGGCGAGGTTGGGGTAATTATTGATGTGTAATCGGGAGCCAGCTTTTGATTCTACCAAGATAGGTGACGGTGGGCTGTATATCTGCACGTAGCTGAATAGTGAACCGGAGCGACTCTGCTGTAGAAAAGCCTGCAGAGTGGCAGTAATATGGTGCTAGCCAAGCCATCACGTGATAGAAGTGTTTTTGAGAATAAATACAGTAAGAAGCAAAGTTAGAGGCGTGGAATCTCAAGGCCAACAAAAGGCTTGAAAAACTAAAGCTGGCTCCGGCAATGCCTTGGCTCTGCCGGATCTGGCTTCTGTGGGTCTTGTCTCGTTCCGGGTGCCGATGTGCCCTGCCATAGGAACCTTCTCGTACCCACTCCGTCTACCTTTATATCTAGTATGGGGATTCATCTAACTCTTTTCTTCATTACGTATAAAATATTTCGCAACAAGGGTGTAGCTAGAGAGGGTCAGCTTCCCTGCTAGGGGTAACGATATTTCAAGCCAATCAACATTCACTACCGTAAGATATTGTCGCACGTACATTTATCCGTACTGTGCTTGGTAGAGGGTTGGCTTTTATCAAATGAAACACATATCACTTATAAGCGTTTTTATACAATATCCATTTGCCTTCTAATGCAGACCTTCCCGATCTTGGCGCTTAATTAAGAGTTGCAACAGGGGTGTTGCAATGCTGTCATTGCCATCATTTTTCCAACTATTGTACTTGGCTGGCTTGCCTTCAGCATTAAAAAAACAAGTTAAGAATCTGTCTAAGTGAAGCGTCAGCCCAGTCGATATTTTAACGTACGCTAAAGCGTTGTTCTAGCAGCGGCACGCCTGGTATGCTGTTGTATAATCCTAGATAACAGACCCATTAACACAGACGTAGCCTGACATTGTCAAGCCTAACTCAACTTGGCTGGAAACTCTTTCTGAAGTTAAGGTCGATCAGTATAAACTCAAAGCACTAAACTGTATCATTGAAGAGGTCAGCAAGAGCAATGATACAAATAGCAAGGCCCGCAGCTTCTGCAATAGCTTTAAGTTCTGGTAGGTGGGGATGAGAAGGTCCCTGGTTGAGTTAGATGTGGGGCTCATTCCTCACAGATGCAAAGAGAGTTTGTGCGCGACTCTCAATTCAGGCGAGGATTAAGGAACCGTAAACTGTATTGAACTCGGCGCCTGCTCCGCAGATTTGAAGCTATTATAACTACTCCTGAGTACTTTGATTCACAGACGCCTTAGAAGGCTACGGTGAAGCTCTAAAGGACGCGCATGGCTTAGAGAATAAAATCAATTGCTAAAAGAGCATATCTAAGAGCCTATATGTTCAGGGTAGTAAACTTTGGCAGCATATATCTAAGGTTAGCAGCAGTAGTTGATGAGTACGAGCAGGTAGTAGAGCTCAGAGAGTTCCGTAATCACAACCAGTTGCATGTGTCTAAGACCCTGCGGGCATTCTTAAAAGTTGGGACCTCTGGCAGAAATTTGGAATGGCCGGTAGAAAGACCTGTGCCCATGTCGTCAGGGTTGGTGCAATTCTCCATGAGCGAGCTCGCTCCAAATATGCGTGATGCCCTTTCCCCAATTTCAGCAGCTATATAACGAGTCACATAAACAATTTACTTCCACCACACCAGGGATATGAGGTGGGCCCAGAAAATGAGCACTGCGGTTGGTATGGGAGCGTATGGCTTTGTAAGGTTGGTTATAAAACTTGCTCACGTACTGCATAGCAAATCGAGGGCTGGAGCAGGGCTTCCAACGAGGCGTAGTACTGTACGATTGGGTGGGTTTGAGGCCTGTACGAGTGAGATTTTGTGTGCGTTCGTACGACGGGGAGGAGGAGGGGTAGGTGTACGTATTGTAACTGTTGTGGCTCATGTGATCTGTACGAGTAGTACGATTTAATTAAAGTACGAGCAGATTAGCCTTCCTTTCCAGGAAGAAGGGGGCTAGTCCTAATTAGGAAGGATTACGTAACAGCTCGCTTACGCGCACAGCCGCCACAATAAACAATCTAACCAACCCAGCTTCACATCTCCTCCTGCCACGCCCACCAACCCACCTAACTAGGGCAGTGCGACCTTACTAGCTAATCCTAAACTGCTAAGGACGCTACAGGTACACATCTTACCCTATCTGCATGTTTTAGGTTAAAATCTAATTAGAACAGCCTCTAACACCCTCTGCTTACTTCTAACGCAGCAGATTGTGTCTAATAACGCTATAACAACACTAGATAATAACTAGTTGTAACCTAATAATAAGCCTCTATTACTAAAGATTAATACTAAGGTTATTATTAATTTCTAAGGTAAAGGCCTAACTAGAGGCTAGGACCTCTTAGCTAAAAAGGCTAGTGCTAATAGTAATAGTAAGTTTTACCTTACACATGTTATAATCTAGGGCTAATTAGAAAAAATAAAGGCGCTAGACAATAATAAACCTACTTTATTAGACAACATGTTGTTAGGACCTACTTCTTTGCCTTCTGTGCCTAATATGTCCTAACTAGAAGACACGCAGTCTTGCCTAAGTCTAATAGCATTGCAGGCAGGACTAAACTAGACAGTGCCCGCCCGCGCCTTTAGCTAGACTAGACTGTACAGCTTGTAGGGCAGCTAAGATTAGAGCTAGTAATAGTATAGTAAAAGTGTAAGTAAATTTAGATTAATCTAGATTAATACAACTTAGAAAAGAATTAGACTAACAATATTTTTTTATAGCTTACCCCTACTTATATCTAACCTATATCTAGCTATAAAGAACATTAGTAGCAATTTGCCTGTTAGCTAAGTTGTAGACTATATCTGCTACTGTAAGGTCTATATCTGCAGGCCTAGGGTTAATATCCGCAGGCTTAGGGTCTGTACTAGAACACCTAGTAGCCTTAACATAAAGCACCTCTGTTTGCTCTAGGCGGACTGTACCCTTTCTAGCAGCAGTTTATGCCACTATATTCCTAGTATAGACATTACAGATATAGCATAGGTTAGGCCCTGCCTGCTCTAACTCTAATTGTTTTGCCTTATTAGATAGATTTAGCTAAAGCTAGGTTAAAGCTAACTAAAGGTAAAAAGAAGAGAAAAATTATACTTTAGCCTAAACCTTTAAGCAGTAAATCTAAGTAGTTTAACTCTTTTATAAAGGACACTAATTTATATAAAATTGTTAATCTAAAGCTGCTATATAAAGAGGTCTAGACTGCTGCAAAGATAATAGGACTCTTTAGGCGCCTAATAGACTCTAAGTTTATAAAAGATCTAAACATAAAGGTTATAACAGCCTATTTAGAGTTAGTTAAGATGCAAACAAATTAGATTGTTATAGTGCGTACATAGGTTAATTCTCTTTAGAACAGCTTTAACCTAGTTTTAATTAAAGTTACACGCCCTAAAGCAGCTAAGGCACTAGTGGCCTTTATAGTAGGTTAGATCTTACAGGATCTCTGCTAGAAATGCCTAAAAAAAAACAGCAAGTTTGTCTACTATGTATATGTCCCTAACTATTTTAGCTATAGTTGTGCAAATTGTTACTACAGTGCAGAAGGCAAAAGTTGCAATCTTTAAAGTAAGTTATTCTCTTTCTAAATAGGATATACCTAGATACTAACATATATTAGTAGATTAAACTAAATTTATTAAATAAAACAAAGTCTATTAGCTAAAGAAGAAAAAGGCAATGCCTAAAGATATTACTACCTCCTTAAAGAGCATCCCCACTCTGTAGAAGGGTTTAGCTGTGCTAACATCCACCCTAACACTAAAAGGGCCTAAATTAGCTTTAACTAAGGTAGATCTAAGCCTTTAAAAAGCTACTTTAGTTCTAATCTATAACAAACCTACTGTTCCTTATAATCTAGTTATAGCCTCTATAATTAACTTGTTTAGTTACTAAGTTCTAAGGACTAGGGCCTAGCCTATACAGCAAAATATGTACACAGCCCTACTAATTGTGATTAAGTTATTCTAAGAAGTAATCTCTATAGATAATAAATTACTACAGTCCTAGTTTAGTTAGGTCTAGGACTAGATTAAAGATATAATAGAACTTGCAACAGATAAGTGCATAGAACTTAGTAAGGTAATGTAGTCCCTGTTATTCTAGTTTAACATAGTAGTAGATGTTAGCATAGCTTTTAATGCTAAAAAAGGCCTAGCTAATAGTAATAAGAAAGAGGCAGAAAGGCCTATAGACAACACTAACATAGCTAAGGGTTAATTTAAAGAAGATAAGGACCTAGAAGATACTAATAACAGAGAGTTTATAGCTGCTAATAACATAGAGGTTTCTGCTAACACTTTTTTAAGTTCTAACCTTTTATTTATTAAAAAAGTTAAGACCTAATTAGCTATAAA